ATGTGTACAGATAGGCTGTTGCAGTTATAGTAGAATATCTGTATAATTATACCAAACAATATGTAAAACTATCTGATTTCACTGGTAATCCAGGATAAACTGAACCAAATGACAAAACGCATTTGAAACAAGTTGGCGGGGCACTGAATTTGGGGAAATATGTTTGGTTTGTTCCCGGCAGAGAGGGTGTACGTATGTTATGCACGTGCAGGTCATGACGATGAAATTGACTACGCTCCCGTGGACACACGTTTTGCTCATAAAGACTGTTAAGAGGTCGGTGTCACAAGTTGATACCATAATTCTCTAAAAGTCGTTTGATATATTTTGTTTCTTTGTTGTTTAAGGCCGCACTCAGCAATATTCCAGCTGTATGACGGCGGTCTGTACATAATCAAGTCTGGACCAGACAATCCAGTGATTGACATGATAAGCATCGATCTAGGCAATTGGGATATGATGACATGCATCAGCCAAGTCAGCCAGCCTGACCACACGTGCTTGCCGAAAAAGGCGACTCTGCTTGTCGGTAAAGGCGACTAACGGGATCGGTTGGTCGACTTGGTTGATGCATGTCATCGATCCCGTCATCGATCGCGTGGATCGATTCTCATGATGCCAATCAAAGGATTGGATTATTTACAGACCACCGTCATATAGCTGGATTATTGCTGAGTGCGGTTTGAAACAACAAACAAACAATCTGTCTTCGCCCTCTGGTATCTAGGAAGGTGCAACTCGGACAAGGAGTAGAGTTTGGGAGGCCATATAATCTTAGTACATAGTGCTCTAGACCTGTACAATGCAGGTAATACTCAACCAATACAAAACCCAAATTCAACATCATTAATTTCAACTCTTAAATCCAACCAGACACCAATGTGAATGAAACATGACATTGAGTGTACATTGTGGTGCCAGCTGGGTACAAAGTTACAAAGTAGGCTGCAGCCTAGTAACACAATTATAACCGGGAGTACTCAAAACTGTGTTAGAAATTGAGCGAAAACCGCGGGAATTCATAATCTAAACTTAAAAATAACTTTATTAACTGAGCTGGAACTATGGTACTGAGAACGTGCTGTCTCACGGTAATTTTTCCTTAAAATAGAATGGAAGAATTGAGAATAAATGATGACATCAGAGCTGCTAGCGTTCCAAGATTTATTCAGGTGCAGTGTGTAATAAACATTTCAATTCAATTAATCACATAATCATATCTAATAATCATAAATTATATCATTACAAATAATTGTCATAACGTCGTGGTTTCTTATGACATAACTACTCAGAATATAAATCAATAAGCATTTCGCTTCAATCTTATAACATATCAAATAATCACCATTACATTATACACAAATAGATCAGGATGGAACTTTTAAATAACGGCACAATAACAAAGACAAAACATATGATTCACAATACCAATGTCAGCTGAAATAATGCAACATTAATGACAGACGTATTTGTAGATATATTACGGTAATGCAGTTTCGCGCATTACCGTAGTTCTTCTAATACAAGTGTTATTAAGCTACTTTATGCAGAGCTCGCATACGAGCATTGTGCATTCAACTATTAACATCAAGTTACGGGTATTTCATTTCCTATCAAGAACAAAGCTGACTGACTATTAACAAAGTCCAGCATTACTGCTAGCAATGAATCTACACATATTGACGACATGACTTTACTTTACGACGTTGTTGATACTTGTACTAGTTATTAAGCAAGTTTGCGCACTATAACAGTACTTTCAGATTGAAGGTTTTAAAGCGGGAAGAATACAAGTTTCTGGAAACCGGAAGTTAGATTATCGCAACAGGAGGTCCTAAAGTACTGTCGTAAATGCCAGATAAATCCTTTTTGACCTTTAAAATATTTTTCACAGACTGTTGCTATTAAAATATAGAATAACTACCGATCGACTGTAGTTCGTTCACAAGGAGTCCTATCGACAGTTTAGCAGGAGAAAAATTCGAACGAAAACAGTAAGTTCGGATTTATTCTAAGTCCAATGATGTCAGTCTAAAACGGACCATAGAACTATGCGCACATGGCACCGTTATAATGACAATAATGTAGTCTTCCGAAAACATCTAATCAACACCCAAACAAATCACATGGAGAAAATTCTAGATGTGCATCTTCTAAAATAACAAAATGACGCTGCGTTTGTTTTATCAACACTGCTCCCATGATGCATGTTACATAGCACTTGCACGGCCATAGCCACGGTACACGACATGGAGTCTGTACTGGGAAATGCATACAAGTACTTTACACTGAAGGGAGATAGAGGAAACCATTTATTAGTTTAGATAGGGTGATTTTACCGAACTGCCCAAACTATGGGGTTTTCCATTCATTCTATCGAGTCTACGGTATGATGAATAAAACTAAAAAGGAATAGGGGGGCTCTCAAAAACAAAACCTAGCCGTAAAGGATATTTGATACAGGGTGACTGGGTGTATTGTGGCAGATATTTGTACAAGTATCACTTGTCCCCAACTTGATTCAAATAAAACTGTTTTCTCTAAAAAAAAGTGGATTTTTTTAGAGAAAACAGTTTTATTTGAATCACGTTGGTTGATACTTGTACAAATATCTGCCACCCCTGTCAAAAAAAAGTTAACTACGGCCTTGACATCCCGTTTCATAACTTTTAACCATTCAATCATTTATCCAAGCAAATATAATCCAGCACATATCCTAAATTACTACCCCATCAACGCACATGTCAATTAAGTACAACAGCAACATTTTGAGACCACCCCCAACTCGGGTGACATGTGCACCTGGGAGAATGCACGGGGCTGTGTGAGGTCATCACCTCGGGACAGGTGTTAGATAATTACCTCAGGTTATAGGCCGTTTCATACATGCATGACAACACACGAATATTTTTATCTATGTTTATCATCACAGGGTAATCACAGTGTCAGTTAAGATAGGCTACATTAGGACAATATGCGTTCATTTGATATATGTTATTTTCAAAGCCCTAGGACTAGTATTTATTAAATGAAGCCAGAAAATCATTTTTCTAGCAGTTCCGACAGTACTTTTATAACTTTGTTGCAAAAGCAATTAGAACCATGGGAGTTATCGAGTAATAAATGCCATCATAACAATCAGGCTAGCTCTAGTATGTCTTACTAATTACAGAGTGTAGTCCAAAAACCACGAACAGTCAAACGAATCTGACCCTTAAAGTTCGTGAATCCAAAAGACCTAGTCTTGAACATGTATTAAAACCAGTGAGTGTTGTCCGCACTCTGGAATATTTCTGAGTTGGGTTTTAAACAAACAAACGAAACCTTTTCAAGAAACAAAAATGGCGTCACTGGAGGTTCAGCTAACGACACAAGATGTTACAGTCACGATCGATAACAGACGTTCACATCTCCGAGATTTAATATTATTCCATTCGCATTTTATTTGTTTGAGCCGCATCCATATTCAATCTATATTGAATCATGTGATACATGCTTACATCTCGACCCGTGCACAAGCCCGAACACATGTGCACGTGCAATAAACTATTCCCTGTCAATCAAACCTGTCACTCAGTGTGCACGTCCACGGATGTTAACTGTCACATCCGCCTTCACGGGTCGTTTGTTAGATCAATTTTACCCACATCATCTGTAATATGTTCTGGAAACATATAATGTTATACTATTCAAAAGAAGTTAAAAAAACTTGCTGGGGCGCGGTTGCCCAGTTGTCGAAGCCACCGCAATTCGCTGTGCAGAGTTGCATCTCTTGGGCAAGCCATACATTTTTGATAATGGGTTCGAATCCCGGTTCGCCCCGATTATGTTTCTAGGTTTGTCAGCACTATACCCGTGCACGTGGGTTTCACCGATGTGGTAAACGTCTGAGACCTGCTACACTTCGGGCTTTCCTCCCACATTAAGCTGACACGCCACGATATAACTGGAATACTGTTAAAAGCGGCGTGAAACCCAACTCACTCACTCACTCACTCGGTCTGTGACTTGTTTTGCGTAGTACATTATCATCATGTACACCCGTGGCTTACTTAATTATTGAGTGACCATCAACACCGCCTTTAGCGATATTCCATCCGTATCACCCAGGCTAGCCTTCACAGTGCATCACTATGTGTAATGTAATGTAATGTCATGTAATGTAATGTAATGTAATGGATGGTGGATGGGTGATGATAGAGATGTGATGGATGTATGATGAATGAATCAGCAGATTTTAGAACAAAATATTCGCGATTCGAAAGCATTCTGGGCAACGATATACGTCAATTAAATACTTAATTCTTATAAATATACTACATAATTTTAATAGTACCTCGTGATATTTGCTTTTTATCCGTCAAGTACTTTGCACGGGTCTTGAATGGTCCAAAGTACACAACGTTAGACATTAATAACTAGGTAGGACTTCTCAATTCGTCATATTTGGTAGGACCGAAACTTCAAAGGTATTCGGGGCGGTCGGGTAGCCTTGTGGTTAAAGCGTTCGCTCGTCACGCCGATGGCACGGTTTCGATTCCCGACATGGGTACAATGTGTGAAGCCCATTTATGGTGTCCCTCGCCGACCCAGGTACACAGAACAAATGGAAGCCGTATTCGTTAAAATACGATATCCATATTTGTGCTATATATACCACTAAAAAAATGTTGAGGACTACCCGATTCTTACATATATAAATGACAATAGTTCATCTGTCATGGCTGATTAGCTTTAGTAAAATAAAAATATAAATAAATAAGTAAATTTACAAATATACAAATAAATTAATTAACTAGAATTAAACATAGAATCAGTATTAGTCCAAAATATTGATTTATAAAACACTTTTCCTCAGCGAGTGTATAAGTCCGTCTTTATTAACTTTGATGCTGCAGTAAAATGCCTGTCATCAAATCAAGGGAGGTGACTCTGATTCTTGCGCGACATAATTCATGAATTATCGACCAATGAGAATCCAGCATTTGCGTCGAGTGCCGAGTTCAATCCAACATGGTTGTGTTTCGGCCTGATCCGTGCGGTATCACCTGCATAATAATTACTTACATCGCAGTTCTTTACGCCGATTATGTCGTCGTCCGACATTTGGTCATCCCTTCGATGTCTGAGACGTGAGTTTTGCAAATGATAATATTTATGGCACATAATGAACCATTATAATGGGTTGAGTCAAGATAGGTGTCCTGTCGGTTGAGTCAACAATCGTCCGTCACTCAGTGAAGGTATCTGTCATGCTTCTAATTAGTGGTTTGTATGTCTATATCGTAATGAAATGTAGTTTACGTCCTGTGGACGGGTTGTTTTCAAGTTTACTCGTCTTTACTCTGATAAGGAAAACGGTTCTATGCGACGGTCGACCCGATTTCATTGATCGTGTTTACAGTTCCACACTTCCTAGTCAACGATCACAGTGTATGCTTTGCCTCTAGTCATAGCTATTTACACACACACATGATCTGTAATTGCTGTGAATGTTTACATAATGTGACATATAATGAGCGAAAAAGACACAAATTGTTTCTGAAATTATGATTATCCTACCATTTACAAGTATTTGAAACCACTTCCGATATCAATGTTATTATGAAACATGATATCACCTATGCTATTTTGAGGATTTTAGAATATAACCTGTCACAGCTGTTATTGTGCTACTAAAATCTAAAGCTCTATTTTGTAGGTCAGTCACGATTGCATGAATAACCAGCTACAGTTTGGTTAGAATTCCTAAACAGTTAAAAAATGTGCAAACTGATATATTCATAATACTGTTTTAATATTATCAGTAATCATTTACAGATAGTTGGAGTGCAACAGTTTATCAAACCATCGCAATTGTTTGCCATTTGATATCAGGAGTAGATTTAACTGTTGAAAAATGTCACCCCTTCTTCATTTAATTGGACACTGCTTGTGAATCATGTAGTTTTGAAGAGAAAATATTTAGGGGGGATGAGGTCGGTGGATGGTTAAAACAAGGAAAGATTTATGTCGATCATCTCAGGAGAATGACAACCCTCTGCTATTTGTAATGTTGTGTACACCATCTTTATTTACATTGCTAATTTCTTATGTGAAATATCAATATTATGTACAGCCTCGTATTCCAGCGTATTCTCACAATCCTCACATCGATTATCTGTACCGATTGTCATTACATATCTTCTTTGTTAGTAGTTATCTTTGGGTTGCAATCGTTCAGCCACTGTGTTTATCTATGTAGTCCAGCTACATGTATGGGGAACAACTGACTAGACACTTCCTTCTCAAAAATAATGTCGTCGAATATATGACATCAAGTTGCTAGCAAATCTCCAGAGATGACGTCACAATAGAACAATGTTTTATCATGAAATGAACCACGCTTCGTTCTTAATTGTTCTTTTCAATTTACAGAGTAGCTGTCTTATGTTTGCTCATAAATCATCATAAAAAGGCAAATGGAACTGGAAGCCAATATTTAATCTCAGAGTGCGGGAAAAGGCGTTTTAGGTGTTAGGAGTTCCAACATTTTCAGAGCAGCGCTAGGTGGCTATGTGATCACAGTTTCAGCCACTTCGCAGCCTCCACCATTTAGCATGTTTAGCTGTATGCCAGTTAGTTTGGAAAAGGGCCAGTTATTTTTAAAAGGAGCAAGCCCTGCTGGCTACATATGAATTTGTTGTTAAACTGTGACAACTGTCACAATACTTTTCCAATAGTGAAAAAAGCCCACATCATACAGATAGTCTCTCCTTTCAGGTACATTTAGAAAACTGTCAACATTAATATTCATTCTAATGACAGGTACAAATAGTTTTAACTTTCACCTTACGTTCATACGAAATAGGAACTTTTGCATTGAAATTCCGTGAGGAATATTGGTTATTGTGGTACTAATTGTAGATGTTAATAATATTTTGATATCATGAAAACAGGGAAATAGGATATGAAACGGTTTAGAAAAGACGAGTAACCAGTTCAACACTTTTCAAACTATGACATCCCAGCTGTTTGTCTTTATCCTGTTGCCGGTAATGTTAGTTTTGAATTATTCAAACCATTCAAATAAACAATAATACCCCATTCACAGTTTTTACGTCTACGTGCCCAAACTTGGCTCTTAGCATCATTTTCAGTTGATTTAATGTTAATTTAATTGTTATGATATGACTTATTAGCTGTGGGTGCTGGACAGAAAATATGGCTAAAGATTGCAGAGCCGTGAAGCTCCAGGGTAGAATAGGTCTTCAGCAACCCATGCTAGTCCAACAAGAATTATGGATTATTTGGATTTGTTTTTTAATTGTAACATTGATGTTTCCTTGATCAATTATTATCAGATGCATCCAGATTTACTATGTCCCAAATTTTAAACAAAATGCGGTGTTAGATGTGTGGCAACATGAATATTGTATTGCTTATACAGAAAATAAATTTTTAACATATTTAAATGAAAAAAAACCTCATTTGTTAAATTATTCAACTTGTTCAATGAATGATACTTGTAGAATCAATGGAGACAGATTGTGCCACCACATCTTCTCAAGGAAAGGGAGTTAACTGACGATAAAAGCTCAGTCAAAACAATCTGATCGGTTATCATGATCCAGGTTGTAATAAAAAGAGTCTTATCCCCCGAAGTGCATCAAACCACTTCAGCACCTTGATTAAAATGAACAGATTTGGACAATATCTGTCAACGCCCAGTTGACGGTACACAAACAGAGCTACAGATAAGCAGCGTATTTGCGTAAAAGACCCTTAAAATATTCAAAACCCTATTACTTTCAATTTACTTGCATACAGAAATGCATGCATTAAATGAAAAACTCAAATGTATAAAAACACATCACGTAAATACCCAATGAAGCTCTTTCAGCATGCGTACAAAGGGGCTCATTTCCAAACACAATTGATGAGCTACTTTACTTTCCGAGTCAAGCCTATATATTTAGAACTGATCATGATGATCATCTAAAACATTATTTCATTTTTTTAAATCTTAAAAAGTTCACTGATTTGGGGAAAAATCCAATAGAGTGATGAATAGATGAGTGAAAAAATATTGGTTACCCAATGAAAAATGTAATAACCCAATTAAAATAGAAACCCTGGAGTAAAAACTCAATTGCTAAAAAAATTATCTGGAGCTCTGACATGCTTTGCAAATCCTGGCTCAGGAGACTAATTATTTAGAACAACTGGTTTAAGTGTCATGCCCCAGAAATGTGGCTGCAGAGGACCGCCATGCTGGAAGGGTCCAGGGTACTTATGACAATATATAATATCCTCTATAATGGAGGAGGAACTATCCCCTGATTCAACTCGGAGGTGATCACTAACAAGGTTTTGATGTTTCCTGTGTTTGATGCTACCATGCTACATTCATCTTCCTGAGGTTTGGGTGTTAACTGACTGGAAATCCAGTTTCCACCCTTGCTGAACTAGGCTGGAATTTCATGGTTCTATTGTAGATCCACTAGTGGTTATTACAAATTATGTCCTTTCTCTGTTCCTCCTATTGGCCAATCAGATTCCACCTCAATGCACTCCATATCACATTTGTTTCAAACAAAAATGGAAACCCCCAGTCAATAAGATCTTTCTTGTAATAAAATGGGTCTTATCTTGTGTAGTGCATCAAATCTAGTGAGCACCTTGATTACAAGCATGAAAAGATTTTTAAAAATATCTGTTGATGCCCAGTTGACGGTACACATGATTTGCAAATCCTGCAGTCAACCGAAATTTTCACAGCAGCTGCAATATTGTTTATAAACCGAATGTCTGTTTCATTTTTGGACTATGTATAGATTCGTTAGTCCTGTCAAAACACATTCATGACCAACTCGTGTTATTCAGGACAAGCCGAATAGCGACTCGTGCCCCTCTCATGGCCGTTTTTCGACCGGGTTCCGTCTTAGCTCAAACAGGCATACCTAAAGTAATTGTCAACTCGTCATGTTATGGTTCACATGTATTTCCCCCATATATTATATATATTTCAGATGCAATTTAAAGCACATCTGGACATACAGTATGATTGAACACATTTAACTGTGCCTTGGGTATATTTTTAGATGCATGACATATGTAAAATCAAAAATTATTTTTGAGGGATTCTTTGACGAAGAACTTGAAGTCATACGCGCATTCTGATTGGTTTGTCATATTTTCGCACATAACATTCCTCGAGGGGGGGGGGGGGGGGGGGTCAAGTCTTCTTGCAGGTTACAGAAAGGGGTGAGTGGTGATCATTGGTCAAAACAGTGCCTCCCAGTTTGGACATGTATAGTCAGTTATCTCCCTTGCCCCAGGAAGCATGGGAAGATGGAGTCCCCATTGCCCAACAGTATTTAGAATGTACATCATTTTCACTCTGTCTCTGGGTTAGGAAAATGACCCATTTCCACAGAACTTTCATTTGGCATTGTATTATTATTTAGTTGTGTTGATTTTCGCATAGTAAACATTTTGTCTTGATAATGCAGGACCAGCTACAAACTCTTAGAACGTCTTGTAAAAGATGATTTTCTATGGCTGCCTCTACTGATTATATACTTTTTTCTCGATTTTAATACAGATTGGACAAAATGTTTTTGGGTGGATATACCTGTACACATGTATGTACACTGTTCCTTATCTATGCATGTTTTGCTTGCAGTTTCTGGGGTGCTGTCCATGTGGTGGTGTTCAACACGATTCTGTTCCTGCTGACAATATCTCACATGCGGGCGGTCATGTCTGACCCCGGGGTGGTGCCACTCCCCACCACCAGTATCGACTTCTCCGACATGCACTCAGGGAAGCAGACCAAGTGCTCGGTAGATACATTTTGTAATAACAGGGCAGGGATTTATCCTGGATTCTCAACTGAGTGGGCCGCCTTCGTGGTCTAGTGGTAGAGCATCTGCCCAGAGAGCGGTATGTCCGGGGTTAGATCCCTGGTCGTGTCATACCAAAAGACGTTATAAATGTTATGGCTTTGTTGAAGTGACTTTTATATCACTGACCAATTCGATCAAAATAACAGACCTGTTTCCTCCTACGGTGTCTCTGTAGTTCCTTCAGACTACATATCCAGTGACAACAGTATGGATTTTAAGAATATATAAATCAAGTTCTTAAATGATGCATTAATATAACTTCTAATTTGGAACATATACAGTAGACATCTTTGCACAAATGCACACACAACTACATATATCTAAATAACTTTTCGTATTGGTATCGATCGTCTAATTTACCATCGGTGGACCAAATTCATGTAATGGAAATAAAATTTTGCATTAGGGGTAATATGTATCCAGCAGATGTTTGGAATGGCCGAATGAAAGGTTGATGACCTTGATCAGTTGATGTCAACTATGGCTAAGCTGTTAAAACTGTATGCTAAATCAACACAACAATATAAGGACTGATACCATGAGATCTGGTTGTGTCATACTGCCTCAAAGAGGGTACTGACGTTAGTTTATTGTAACATGGTGAGGTCAACTTCACCTGCTTGCAGGCTGGTAAAAATGACTACTGGCAAATAGCTCAAACTACAGACAGACTCTCAGTGAAATAATACAGAGAAGTTAAGGGTATACAGGTCTGGAAATCTACATTGTAGATACTATCCAAATGCTTTTGCAGGAGTGGTAGAACTGTTGCATTAGTATCACATTAGTGTTTTTAACTATGGGATTGCTTTTGCAGTAGATATTTTGCCCCCTTAAAGTTTAACATAGGTAGTATGTTACGTATTGGTGACACGTGAAGATCTGGGTTAGAATAGCTCTTCAGCCACCCATTCTTGCTGTAAGAGGCAACTATACTTGTCGTATGAGGCGACTAATGGGATTGGGTGGTCATGACTCCATGACTTAGTTGATACATGTCATTGTATTCCAATTGCATAAATGGACCTCTTGCATTAGGGCTAATAAAAATCAAACAGATTCTTGAAATGGCCAAATGAATGGCTGATGACCTTGTGAGGTCAACTTCACCTGCTTGCATGCTGGTAAAAATGACTACTGACAAATAGCTGAAACTTCAGACAGATTCTTTGTGAACTAATGGAATGTGATGATGATGATGATGATGATGATGATGACCCATGTACCTGTGTTTGTGTTGCAGGGCGATGGATGGACTGTTTGTATGAAGTGCGAGACGTACCGGCCGCCACGAGCTCACCACTGCCGCGTCTGTCGTAGGTGCATCCGAAGAATGGACCATCACTGTCCGTGGTAAAGAAATAGTGGCAGATATTTTTGTAGCTGCAGTAAAATACGTTTATAACGAACACGCCATAACGAACTGACCAATATAACAAACTTATTTTTAGTCCCAGACGTTGATTCACTGTGTTGTCAGTACTTCAGTAGGTTGTATACACTACATTCTCCCATCACCCAGTATTTGATATACGGTAATGGTAAAACTCAACAAGACAGTCAGGCAGATGACCCTTAATGTTGCCTGCCCATCTTCCAAGTTAACTGCCTGTATTCAGGCATTATACATAGAGAAAACTCCTAGCAAAAACTAAGAGATTTACGCGTCGTGAACCAGTTGAAATAATGCAAACAATTTACTTGAGAATCTACGAGGAGTTATAATAAAACTGAATCAGTAAGTAGTCTTACAATTATATGCCAGACAGTCGGGCAGGTGGGGAAACTATCAGGCAGCCAGACAGAAAGGTTTCCAGCCCCGGCAGGCAGTTGTGACGGACACTGCTAATACTCACGATTACATATGTCAGGTTGAAGAGTAGCTGCTATTTTTATCCAACAAATCAAGCCACAGCCTGGTACGAACATCGGTGAAACGTGCTCAGCTCCAGCCAATGAGTGATCAGAGTTTGACCTCATCATTCCCATCTTCCCGAGGCAAGTGAGTTAACTGACTTTAAAAGTCCAGTTTTCACCCTGAACGACCTAGGCTGGTATTATGGAGTTACGTTTTGGCTGGACTAACGAGTCTATGCATAGTCCAATCACGCAACAATATCGAAATCCGGGTTGTAAAATGTTTTCGGTTTTTGGTTGATTGCATATTTGCAAAGCATGTGCACCGCCAACTCATCAACATTTATTTTCCAAAACTGTTCATGTTTTTAATCAAGGTGCTCACGTGTTTTGATGCACTTCACGATGTAAGACTCGTTTTATCACAATACAGATCTTGATTATCGATTAGATCGTCTTGACTGGGCGCCACCATTTTGTTTGAAGCAAATGCTAGTGATACGAGAGGTGGAATCTGATTGGTCCATAGGAGAGGCAGAGAAGGGACATAACTCGTAATAGCCACTGGTGGCGCTACGGTCGAGCCCAGTAATTCCAGCCTAGTTCGGCAAGGGTGGAAACTGGACTTTTAAAGTCAGTTAACTCTCTTGCCTCGGGAAGATGCATCATTCCTAACTCAAAGAGTCGTACCATCTGCTCTGCACATTGAGTCAATGTCAGGCAGCTATTTTAAGGGGTTCTCAAATTCATTGCCTCGTTATGCGTGATTTATGAACAGGTCCATTTCATTAGCGGACAAAAGTTCACCCAAATCACTCCCAGGGATTTATCTCGATCTGCCCAAAGTCTTCAGCAAGTGTCAATACATTTTCCAAATGGGAATTTCCCAGTCCATGATGATTGTTGTTATGACTAATGTAGATGACTCGGCACGGTTGACGTGTATCATGTTGTATCTGACTGATAACAAGGTCATTGGACAGGAAAAGTCTTTAATGTTTTAATTTCATATTATAACAAAGAAGGCAATGTTAATGTATAATGTTAAAATACACCAGAAATTAAGAAAATAAGAACTCTTCAAAATCCCAATTTTAACAAATATGATATTTCCCCTACAGGTCTGACAGGGGCACATAGTTTGGAATGCTAGATTAATGCCTGCCACTACCATGACTACCACATGGCAAAGCGGCCGTATGGATTCACGAGACATGGTGGAAAGTAGTGTATTGACGACTGACTCACGGATAATAGTTTGGGAGTCAAAATTTCCATAAATGTTATGAAATAGCTTCACATATATCATGATATATGGCATATCAGATATCACACAAACCATTTTATACTTTGTGTATAAATCAATTTCAAATCAATAAGCATGATACATCTACCAGAGTGGCCCAGTCGTCTAAGGTGCTGCAATTCGCCGTGCTGAGTTGCGTCCCTTGGGCACGTCAGAATCCTATGACTGTGGGTTCCGATCTCAGTTCACCCCGATTGTGTTTCTAGGTGCTGTGGGTTTCACCAAAGTGGTAAATGTGTAAGACCTGCATCACTTTGGACTTTCCTTCCACATGAAGTTGGTACTCCATGGTATAACTGGAAGACTGATCATAATGCGCTGAACCCAACTCACCACCAGGGGCGAAACCAGGGTGGAACATTTTAGTATCAATATTAATCGACTGAGAAGTATCACGATATATTGAAATCTTGATTAATAATAAGATTAATTATTCTGTATTTGTATATATATATACAGACCCAAAAAGGTCAGTGATCATGAATATTTGTGGGGCTATTTTTTTGCAGTGAAGACTGAGCACACAATTTAATAAAAATATCCCCAAAATATTCATGATCCCTGACTTTTGTCAGTTTATATAAATTACCTATTGAGATTTAATTCAAAATATAGATTAGGCTGATGTTTTAAATTAATATTTCTGCCTTCTCATGGCCCACCAATATTACTGTGGAAGTGAATTAGTATCAATGTTTCATACATTTGCATCGATACAGTATCGACTTTGATAATTTACCGATACATGAATATCGTTATAAACAGTGACATCCCAGTCTAAACAGCCCATCACCTGGGCTTTCTTGACACATCAAGCTGACTATCTATTTTGGCTTGGACGAGTCTAAATTTACTATGTTGCTACTTGACCCCCTATTACCTGACCCTACGCGGGTACCCACGGTAGGGCTCAAGTTGGGTACAAAATGCTCAATGGGGAATATATTATTGTTTTACTTGAGCCCTGGTAAAAAGTATTTAGATAAAGATATATAAAATGGTTTAATCGTGCATACACTGAAGTTGACTGAAGTTTTGTTTTTACTCAAGCATAAAAGACCTGTGGAGATCCGGGGTAGAATAGGTCTTCAGCAACCCATGCTTGCTGTAAAAGGCGACTATGCTTGTCATAAAAAGCGACTAACGGGATCGGGTGGTCAGACTCTCTGACTTGGTTGATGCATGTCATTGATCCCAATCGCGTGGATCAATGCTCATGATATTAATCCCTTGATTGTCTGGTCCAGACTCGATTATTTACAGCCTGCCATTATATAGCTGGAATATTCCTGAGTGCGGTGTTAAACAACAAACCAACCAACCAACTCAAGCATAGAAAAGTCAGAAGGAATGCGGGCATAGTCAGAAAGAAATGCGAACATTGGCAACTTGTACCTTAGTGTAACCATGGAATTTTAGTGTTATTGCCATAAATAATATATCACATGACTAAGCACGGGTCTGGGTAGTCCTGTGGGTACCAGGGTCCTTCACAGTACCCACCTGACCTGAGTACCCGAGTTACCCATCCCAGCCCTACTATCTATGATATTATGACTGTCCCAGCCCTACTATCTATGATATTATGACTCAAATACTGTTGAAAGAGTCGCTAACACCAACTGATTCCCTTGTCACAATGGTAAGCAGTCATGCTGCAGGTTGTAATTTTGTCCTTCTGTCTTGCAGGATCAACAACTGTGTTGGAGAATTTAACCAAAAGTTTTTTATTCAGTTTTTATTTTATGTAGGTAAGTAAACTTAAAGTCTTATTGAATTACATTTGTGATACCAAATTGACAAGATCCAATCTCATTAAAATCAGATCTTAGTTCTCGCTATCGCTAAACAAAGATCTGAGGACATCCCATTATTTTTTTGGTCCAGACTATAATTATTTTAAGATACAAACAGTCATCGTGTAGTTGGAATATCGTCTGACCCAGTCTCGATTATTTACAGACTGCCGTCATATAGCTGGAATATTGCTGAGTGCTTCGTTAAACACACACACACACACACACACACAAACAAACAAACAAACAAACAAACAAACAAACAAACAGTGTTCCCTCCCTATTGCGCCCTTCAGTTTAGCCTGAGGTAATGCATGCATATATCTGCGTTTGATGACTGTGAAACAGTTACTGGTATTCCGGAACTTATTATTCAGACTTCGATTCCTGACATGGGTACAATGTGTGAAGCCCAATTCTGGTGTCCCGTACCGTGATATTGCTGGAAAAGCCATGTAAAACCATACTCACTCACTCACAATTTTTCAGACAGTAAATTAGGTTTTCTGTGAAGTTGAACAAACCAGCATTTTATTTAAAAGAATTACAAGTTTGTGTTTTTCGTTTTACTCCAGGGATGTCAAGTGTTTATGCTGTTACCATGGTGATAGTGGCCTGGATAGTGGATCCCACCCCTGTTGAAAGTATCCGCCATATCAAATTGTGAGTTATCTCTCTTGTCCTTGTGGCATTTCAATTCATTTTGGGACATGGTCGATGTCCTTAAGTTTTAAGACATCTCTCCTCCCCCCCCTCCTCTGAAAATGTTGATTTCCTGAGTTTAGTGGCTTCCCTTTTGTCCCACATTCCTGTGTTTATGTTTTGCTCAGCTTTTCAAGAACGTTTATCAACTGAAGTTATTTGCTGGTGTTGAAAGTCGTGTTGGGTTTTCATGGTTCATATTTGCCATTCTCTGTTACATACTGCACTGGTGGATGTAAAACTGTTGACTTTTCACCAAAGAATCTAAACACAATCAGGGCTTTCCTTCAACAGAGAGTTGAACTTTTACCCAACTGTAAACATGTTACATCCAAAGTGGTCAATGATGTGGATGATAATTGATGATATATACATATGTATATATATACATGATATAGTTGTGTGTTTTGTTTCAGATTGCATTCCATAATTCTGGTGATAGAGTCCATACTATTTGGCCTGTTTGTTATAGCAATAGGATGTGATCAGGTAAGTCCTCCAAGTCTCTAGTGAATTCAGCTTACTGTGCATCTCTTCAGCTGACCCCTGTGTTATGGCAGAAATTCTGTTTTAGATGGCATTAAACCAACTCACTTACCCTATCGCTGAACACCCCTTGCTGTTGCCCACAATTAAACTGAAACATTTGTCAAGTAATTATTCATAGACATACTCCGATGTGTGAGAAAAGTCACAACCTGACAGCTGGACCTGCAGATGTGCATGATCTGTGAGAACCGCGAAGATTCGGGGTAGAATTGGTCTTCAGCAACCCATGCTTGCAGTGAAAGGCGACTATGCTTGTCGTAAGAGGTGACTATTTGGATCAGGTGGTCAGGCTCTCTGACTAAGTTCATGCATGTCATCATATCCCAATTGCGTTGAGTGAGGCTCATGATATCAATCACTGGATTGTCTGGTTCAGACTTGATTATTTACAGTTCGCCGATATACAGCTGGAATATTGCTCAACACAGGCATAATCTGTGATCACAACATCAAGGATGCAAATGTTTCCGGCTTTTAAAAAACAATTCACCCGAGCACGTCCAGCATCACCATGGTTGCCTCCCAACCATCTGGGTCATGCAAGCTTTTCATGCCAGTCGACCTACATGCGCTGAACACAGGATCTCCCCAACCAACTCATTCTCTTTCAAATCGCCACATTGTGGATACATGTTTTAAACACCAAGGGAGCTCTTTTTCCCAATTTAGTTTGCCAGTCTTCTTCTTCTTGGTCGGTTTTTCATCATGGACGAATAGTCCACGCACAGCCCTGCATGTCTTTCTTGCAGATTTCTGCAGGCTACTTTGGAACTGGTCTGTTCACATATGCAAAAGCTCTGCGTATAAATATGATAAAAGATTCTCCCGTATATTTTCCTTTTTACTATTTTAAAGTAAATAAGTTTTAATTTCCCTGATACATGTTTCATTTTGTTTGATGTATATTTTGTCCCTTAACCTGTTTTGTTGGAATAACAGGTCTAGAGGACTTTTGTTATATAGTTACCCTTATATAACCAATGTTATATACAATAACTTGTATCTGGTATCTGTGGTTTATTTTCGGTACAGAAGAACTGTAAGTGTGGGTATTTTTTTTAGAAATCTATTTCTTCTCTTCATGAACAGTAACTAGTAGTGATGTGTTGTTTTACATGATTCTTTAAACTAGTGGAACAGCTTTAGAATGTGTATTTTGGGGTATTTGTTTTAGATATGTTGTTGTTCTCTTTTATTACCTTGCAATTATATACAGATCACTGGTTTAGATAATGTGTGTTCGTTTCCTTGAAGATATCGTCAATTTTGAATGACGAAACTGCTGTAGAGCATGTGAAGCGAGAGGGGCCACGTCGTCAGAAGAAATCAACGATGGCTTTGTTCCAAGAAGTGTTTGGTAGAGGTAGGCAGCACTATACACTCGTCCTGAATACGCTGGGACTGCTACTATGCTATACAGTGTTTGGTAGAGGTAGGCAGCACTATACACTCGTCCTGAATACGCTGGGACTGCTACTATGCTATACAGTGTTTGGTAGAGGTAGGCAGCACTATACACTCGTCCTGAATACGCTGGGACTGCTACTATGCTATACAGTGTTTGGTAGAGGTAGGCAGCACTATATGCTTGTCCTGAATACACTGGGACTGCTACCATGCTATACAGTGTTTGGTAGAGGTAGGCAGCACTATACACTCGTCCTGAATACGCTGGAACTGCTACAATGCTATACAGTGTTTGGTAGAGGTAGGCAGCACTATATGCTTGTCCTGAATACGCTGGGACTGCTCATTGCTATACAGTGTTTGGTAGAGGTAGGCAGCACTATACACTCGTCCTGAATATGCTGGGACTGCTACTATGCTATACAGTGTTTGGTAGAGGTAGGCAGCACTATACACTCGTCCTGAATACGCTGGGACTGCTACTATGCTATACAGTGTTTGGTAGAGGTAGGCAGCACTATACACTCGTCCTGAATACGCTGGGACTGCTACTATGCTATACAGTGTTTGGTAGAGGTAGGCAGCACTATATGCTTGTCCTGAATACACTGGGACTGCTACCATGCTATACAGTGTTTGGTAGAGGTAGGCAGCACTATACACTCGTCCTGAATACGCTGGAACTGCTACAATGCTATACAGTGTTTGGTAGAGGTAGGCAGCACTATATGCTTGTCCTGAATACGCTGGGACTGCTCATTGCTATACAGTGTTTGGTAGAGGTAGGCAGCACTATACACTCGTCCTGAATATGCTGGGACTGCTACCATGCTATACAGAGTTTGGTAGAGGTAGGGACCACTATATGCTTGTCCTGAATACGCTGGGACTGCTACAATGCTATACAGAGTTTGGTAGAGGTAGGCCTTGTATCAGTATTTCAATCAGTATTTGCTACGAAAATAATCACTATGACTGAGTTTTAGAGTTTGTCTTGAACAGCTGCACGTTCACTGTGAACATTTTGTTTATCATGTTTTAAATATCATAGTAAAATTAACAATAACTGATTCCTGACTTATGAAAATTATTTGTAATTATGAGAACTATCGCTTTGTTTTGCAGTTGTTTGTCCTCATTTCCATTACAAAATCTACGACTTGTTTCAAATCCCTTTTTTAAATGTCCTTTTTCTTCAAGAATTTGTCTGTGTAAGGGAGGTAACTCTTTGAATGACATTCAGAGGATCACTTTAACATGTTTAACAAGTTTCTAATTTTTCGTTCAAAGTCTTGGGAAGTATTCAGAAGAAGCATAGCAGGGTAACTTTTTGGGCCATTGAGTTTTTACTCACCTGTTTTCATTCACATTAGGTATTGAGGTATTGATAGTTTTCCGTGGGTATTCAAGGCAGGATAGTATATTATCAAGATCACATTGACCAATCCGATCTCATCATTCTGACATGGAGGTATGATTAAGTGTTATCACACTATTCGGGGTTAGAAATTAAGACTAACCTGCTAGCCAGGGGCTAGTAAAAATGCCTGTGGGCTAGTAGAAATTCTCCAATTTTCCCATTGTTTTAACATTACCATGATTACAAGGGCGTTTTGTTAATGTTTCAGGTCACCCTCTGGTGTGGCTGTGCCCTCTGCACTATGACCCTGTGACCCCAGAAGTGCCCATGCATTACAATGTGTGACATGTCAGAGGTCAAGGTCAAGGTTGGCTGTGTGAATGTGAAGGATGCCAGGACGGATATGTTTTTAGTATTTATCACTTTGATGTGTCACCGTACAAGGAATCGGTTGTCAGTCATTGCATATAGAGCTGGCTACAGCAAGTTTTTTTACATGATCTGTGAGCTGTTGTCAGTGAATTTGACCCTATTTTATCTGCACCCTTAGACACACTGGTGCCCATGTGGGCTGCAGCACATGTATACTCAACAATAAAAGTTACTGTCATCAGGTTCTTATGGCCTCAGAAATATGTCTTTTTTAGAGTAGTCAAGAGGACTAGTGTTAACCTTATTTCACTAGTCCTCAGAGTCTGTAACTAGTCCTGCTTGAACATGACACAAATGCTTTCTAGCGTTTCTTTACATTTGCTGTCAGTTCTGTTCAGTTTCAATTTGTAGCCAAATTAAAGCATTGGGAACTGGTCAGTGAGGACAACCAGCACTGGCTTCTTACTTGTCCTCCGCACAGTGGAGTAGTCATGGGCTAGTGGGAATTTTAAAGGCTGTTATGCTCATACTGTGATATTAAAATCAACAATAGTAAACTCTTTCTTCAAAGACATCAAGTGTTTCCAGGGCATTGGATAGCTTTTTCATTTGTCATGCTGAAGGCCGAGTTTCATTGCCCCAAATAGGTACAATGTGTGCAGCAATCTACATGGTATTGCTGGAATATTGTTAAAAGTGATTTGTGTGTTCTTTACACAAGCTTTTATAAATAGTGTGGCCATGGTCATTATAAGTATATGGATTCTGTGGTATTTGGTTGGCATTTGATTGGCATTTTATTGGCTAACTGAGCAATTTTTTCCTATTATTGTTTCCCACTAACTGACTAAAATCCGGGTTAGAATAGGTCTTCAATAACGTATGCTTGCCGTAAGAGGCGACTAATGGGATCGTGTGGTCAGACTCACTGACTTGGTTGATGCCTGCCATAGTATCCCAGTTGCGTAGATCAATGCTCCTGATGTCAATCACGAGATATCTGGTCCAGATGTGATTATTTACAGACCACTGTCATATGGCTGGAATATTGCCTAGTGCGACGTTCAACAACAAACAGAGAAAGAAAGAAACACTAACAGACTACGGCCCTTCTGAGTGGCTACTGATAGAATGGACAAGGTTTGTGTTGCATCAGTTTGCTGCATGATGTTTCTGATTTTGTATTGTTATCTCGTGTTTGTGTTATTGAGTCCCTTATGTTTTTGTGTTTATGGAATTATTATGGTGTGCATTGTTTGTGTAAATCTGTATGTCCACTGGTTTTTATGTTCTTACCTCCATATGTGGGAAAGATACTGAGTCAATTAGACAATTAGACATGTGCCACTGTTAAGGACGTGAATGGGATGTGTGCTTCAATATTTTACCCCTCTACACAGCCTCAGGCTACACTGCTCTGTCTTGAAGTGTTAATATTGTTGTGTACACACACATGGGAACGCAGGAGGCGACCAAAGGGATCTTGTGGTCAGGCTCGCTCACTTGGTTGATTGCGTGTCATCGTACCCCAATGACGTTGATCGTTGCTTGCAATATCAATCACTGGATTGTCTGGTCCAATTGTTTACAGGCAGCTGTCATAGAGCTGGAATATTGTTGAGTGTTGTGTCGAGCAACTGTCAAACAAATGCTGTGTACCTGGTGGAAGATTAATCGGTATGATCAGAGTGATTATACGTTATCAGTTATGTATGAATTAACATAATTACAGAAACTTTTGTTGTTGAGTATATTTTCAAATCTTGTTAGGGATCGGTTATTCATTACTGGGGATGGGGTCAGAGGAAATCTTGAGGGTGACCAATAGTTTTGTACAGTCTTGTGCTTTTGCATTTTGTCGTTTCTGGGAGGGTCGTGAAAAACAAGACCAAGGACATGGGGAGGGGCATCCAAAAATATGACAAGCATCAGGGGAGGGGCATCCAAAAATATGACAAGCATCAGGGGAGGGGCATCCAAAAATATGACAAGCATCAGGGGAGGGGCATCCTAAAATATGACAAGCATCAGGGGAGGGGCATCCTAAAATATGACAAGCATCAGGGGAGGGGCATCCTAAAATATGACAAGCATCAGGGGAGGGGCATCCAAAAATATGACAAGCATCAGGGGAGGGGCATCCTAAAATATGACAAGCATCAGGGGAGGGGCATCCTAAAATATGACAAGCATCAGGGGAGGGGCATCCAAAAATATGACAAGCATCAGGGGAGGGGCATCCTAAAATATGACAAGCATCAGGGGAGGGGCATTAGTTTCAGTGCACAAATCTCTGACCACCCCTCTGTAATAAATGACCAGTCCTTACGTCACTTAATGGGACCACAAGAGAATGTTGGCATGAGAATTTGAGCGATTCCCATTTTTCCCTTTTTATATCCTACATGTGTCAACAGGGTTTTACCATAAACCAAATATTTTCTCCAGAAATTGTTTGGATGGATGCACATAACATTCACTGAGAATCCCAAGGGAGACAGAGTGGTGTGTCTGTATCAATCATTAAAACTAATTCAACTGTAGGCCTACATGTAAAATTGCATATATATTTCCGATCAAAAACCCAAGTTCAGTCTTTTCCATGACTCATTATCAACACTCAGTCATAAAGGAAATCTCATATGAACAGAGGGCGTCACATCATGTATCAGGCTGTGATGTCATTAAGTTTCATGGACGTCAAGTGTAGTGTGCTACATTTCGTCATCAAGGTCACAGTGATTACCTTTGACCCCTGTTGGAATGTCTGGAAGTACTGACTCTGACTAGCCGCTTAGAAACAGGGTTGTCTCCCTTTGATCATAATCTTTCAAGCTCCTCCCCAGCCCGTGACACCTTTGTTACACACTCGGTAACATCGCTGCCACCAGTGTGGGCGTGGCCTTTACAAGAATCGTGAAATTTGCCAAACCCAAATGTAGTCACATATATATGTTGTAATGTCTTTGGGAATGCCATCATTTTGAATTTGAAAAGGTTTCCGACTGACCAGATTTTACAGATGAATTCACCTTTTGTTTGTTTGATAAGAATTGTTCGAGATTGAAGACAAAGGGAAAATGTCCCCACTCCCCCCTTACATTCTACCTACACCAACTGCATGATGGTTGAAATTAAAAAGAAATTCAAATTGAGATACAAAGAAAATAATGTAGTTGTGGTAAGAGTATTCGGCGTCACGACTGTCATCACTTGTTTGTAAACATAACGGTCAGTCAGTTGTGAGGTCAACTCCAAGCATGGTTGTGGCCACGTAACACAGTAGGGAGCTTTTACTGGTGGCAGCGACAGTATAGACATGATAGAGGGCTCCGCGAATTGGCTATCGCTGTGAGGAGCTGGATGATCTTTGTGAGATGAAGGGGAGACAACCAGCTTGGGAAGAGGTGTGACTGCTTCATTTCATGATTACAATAACAGTAGCAGAGATGTCAATGAATTTTATTTTGTTGCTATTCCTAAATTTTCAATTCATTCTGTCAGTATTATATAAGTGAATTATATGATTTATTATGAATTTTGTCAACAAAACCAACATAACCTATTAATTATCAACCAAATATGTTTAGCTTGTCATGGAAACAGTGTTGGGCAGTTTGGGTGATCGTATTTTTTTAATATAAAAATGCTTTGTTTTTATCAAAACAATTGAAGTCTGGTGTGCTAATATTAATTACTACTTTTTATTAATAAAATTACTTATTTTAAGTTGCCATTTATCCCAGATATTCCTGATTGCCTCAATGCTGCAATGATCTTTACCTAAAATTGTTGCAGTAAGTCAGCTTGTTGTTTACTGCCAAAGTTCATCACAATTAGGGAGGCTGGGAAAGAGTGGCTTGGAGACGCACAGTGTTGTAGAGCCCTGCCATTTGCTGTGTGGAGTTGTGTCCCTTTGCTACCAGGATCTGCTGGCCCATATGTCTGAATTAATATCCCATGTTTGTCAGCATGATTGTGTGGTTTCAGCATAGTGGTAAATGTCCATGACACTTGGCTACAACAGTACCATGAGTACTGGGACATACAGGGAGGGCTCAATCACTGTAATATCCAACTTACTCAAATTAGCCCCTGATTTTTCCAGCACCATGTTACATTGATTTGTTTTATTATAGAAACAAACACTATTGATCTATTTAGCAGACTTTATTTTAATGGAATAATATCATATCTACTTCTCAAATGAAGTTAAAGAACACCTGATCTCGTCATATGGCTACAGACTTACTCGAGTCAAGATTGTGTGTTCTTTAACTTCTTTTCAGTTTTATATGTTTAACCTTTTATGTCTACGCCGTGTTTGTAATAACTTGAAATAATGCAAAGGATATAACTCAGCTCTAATTGATGTACACTCAGCACTTTCCATGCTCAACTGTTAATTTGCTGATGTGAAATCACTGGAAATAGTGTGTGTTGTACGAGAGTGTAGACATCATTGTGAAACACGTATTGTTATGTCATACACATTTATAATATAAATTACGTTTTTCTTGACAGGGATTTATTTCACCTGCCCAGAGGCTGATATTTGACCAAAGTCTGCAGCAAATATCAATCCAAATTCCCAAATTGGAGTTGAGAATTTCCGAATTCATTTTATTTAAGTTATGATTGGGGGGCACTGGTCGCCCAGTCGTCTAAGGCGCCGCAATTCGCTGTGCAGAGTTGCGTCCCTTGGGTATGCCAGAAACCTATGATTGTGGGTTCGAATCCTTGTTCGCCCCGATTATGTTTCTAGGTTTGTCAGCACCATACCCGTGCTCGTGGGTTTCACTGAAGTGGTAAATGTCTGAGACCTGCATCACTTCGGGCTTTCCTCCCACATTAAGCTGACACGCAGTGATATGACTGGAATACTGTTAAAAGTGGCGCTAAACCAAACTCACTCACGCACTCACTAAGTTATGATTGATGTTATAGCTTTGTAGAAGTGACTAATATATTTACTGGTACCATAAGCAATCAAAATGAAGAGACTTTAATGGTTTTGCATTAAGTTAATGAAAAAATACAATGTTAAAATACCTCTAAAATAAGAACTTTTTGTTCCATAAATATTTCAATTTTTAATATAAAACAATTGTCTCCCAGTTTCCCTGCTTGAGGCACTTAGTTGAAATCCCAGATGCATCCTTGTCAGAGAAGACCAATTTTCTTTGGTTTTTCGTTTTGTATTTTCACAGTCTTTTGAGTATGATGAATATGATGAAGTAGAACCATCATCCACATTCACTTTCCAACATCCACTGGCTGATGATACAGAGCAAGACTCACTCCTTGTTGCAGCCCAGTGCTAATATGGCAGTCTTCACAAGCTCCATCGGGCGGTGAGGTAGCCTACAGGTTAAAGTGTTGGTTCTTCACGCTGAAGGTCTGGGTTCCATTGCCCGCATGGGTACAATATGTGAAGCCCAAGTCCGGTGTCCACCACCTTGACATTGCTGGAATATTGCTAAAATCAGCGTAAAATTATACTCACTCATCACTCATTAGCTCCATCAGTAAACAAATAAGGAATGATGCAGAAGTTGGTATGTCCAGAGTTAACAAACCATTTACCTATTTACCAAATGTCTCTTTGAAAGATGTTGACGGGGCACCCCCTCCCCCACCTCAGAATATTAAATGGTTGGTAGCTAAAGGACTGGACAAATGTAGTATCTAGGCCACGTAATATAGATGTTGACTCTCCTGGCACTCGCAAGTTGATACAGATGGGGATGTTTGGGTATTTAGGATGAAGGGGGAAATGTATGAAACTGCATTTCTGTAGCAAGATGGAGTGGAAACAGATTCCTTGTTATCAATTATCAAGGATAAGAGAACTTGACAAACTATTTTTTCAGTCAATAGGTGATGCAGAAAAGTTATTTGTACACAAAAAATTTGTACTACACAATATCAGGGTTGGACTTTAAAACACTTTCTATCACAAATTCACCCCAGTT